AACTGTAGCTGAATAGTAGCAGAACTGTAGCTAAATATAGTCCAACTGTAGCTGAAAGTAGCCGAACTGTAGCTGAATAGTAGCAAAACTGTAGCTAAATATAGTCCAACTGTAGCTGAATAGTAGCAGAACTTTAGCTGAAAGTAGCAGAACTTTAGCTAAATATAGTCCAACTGTAGCTGAATTGTAGTAGAACTGTAGCTGAAATGTAGCTGTAAGTAGCTAAACGGTAGCTGAAAGTAGCTGGACTGTAGCTGAACTTTAGCTAAATATAGCCCAACTGTAGCTGAATTGTAGCAAAACTGTAGCTGAAAGTAGCTGAAATTAGCAGGAATGTAGTGGACATTTTGCTAACTATACCTCAACTGTAGCTGTAAGTAGAACTGTAGCTGAAATTAGCTGAACTTAAACGAACTATAGCCCAACTGTAGCTGAAATTAGCTGGACTGTAGCTACATATCATTGAACTGCAGCTAAACATGGCTAAATTGTAGCTAAAATTAGCAGAACTGTAGCTGAAAGTAGCTGAAGGTAACTGAACTGCTGCTGCTCATGGCTAAGTTGCAGCTAAAAGTAGCAAAAGTGTAGCTGAAAGTGGCAAAAGTGTAGCTAACATGACAAATATGTAGCTAAAGTATCGGCTACTTAATTTTCCTTTCTGCTTCCACTTCAGTGTTTTCAGGTTGATTAAACCTTAAATTCAGGATTAGCTGTTCTTGAACAAAGAGAACACCGAACGTTGGATTTGTTCCTCCTCTAATGAAATCAGCCGAAGAAAAGGAGCGAGTTGACCGTTGTAGTTTTGAAACGGTACTTTTTGTTTGTTTGTTTGTTCCTGGAGATTTAAAACTATAATTTAACGACGTTGCTGATGATGTCGTCTGTTGCTCCCTCTCTGCTGTGCTGCTGTCAGGTTTGCCGTGAACGTCATTAAATCCGATTGTTTTTGCTCTGATCTCCTGCTTCAGAACGACTCCGTAAATAAAGTTGAGTTGTGTAAAAACCTGCTGCCACGGCAGGAAAACGTTGTTTTTAATCCTTCGCTGCGGAGCGTCGCTACGTGAGGAGGCTGAACGAGCCGAAGCGAGCGCCCGTCTGCATCCTGATGAGGCCGAAGCTGCCGCAGCGCCGCGAGGCTAAAGAACCGACTCCTGGACGTTTTCACCACGGCTGCCTCTTCGAAGGATGCAGTCGATGTTATTGAAGCCTGCCAGGACGTCTCGTTTCAATAAGTGAAATAAAGACGGGCAGTGGAAATTTAAACGTTTTATTTGACATGAAGACAATAAAGGAAGTAACCTGGAGTGGAGGCTTTTTGGCCAAACGGTCAAATTCATTAAAAACAAACAAGTGTATGAAGAGCTCTTAAATGAAACGGTACAAACCTTTTACGATGGGTTCTGTGCCTATGAACAGTCAGTATCTTACCTGTTGTGCATAGCTTTTTGAAGGACCTCACTTTGGACAGATGGTTTCATTCTGACCGAACTGACGAGCTGATGGCTGGTCGGAGCCGAGCTGGGAGCTAAACACGGCGATCACGTCAACACGGTTATTAACGAGCACAAAGAGCAGCGGCGGCGTCTAGCTGTAGCACTTCCTGCGCAGCCTGAGCCACTTCCTCTTAGAATGTCATATTTCAAAAGGGTCCTGCTCTTCCGTCCACTTTAATGCGGCGCGAACCACAACGTGCACCCCCACAACTGGTGCATCAAAACGACCGGCTCGGCACGGCGATGTGTGCCGTTACTTTTTGTGGCGTTTCGAGTTACCATGACGACGCAGTTTGCAAACAAAGACGCCATTTTTGCCATTGAAAAACAGTGCAGAACTCTGACCAGCCTGGAACGGCCACCGTGAGGTCACATGACCCAGAGGGGAGAGGTCTTTGAACAAAACTTAACTTTTGGAACCATTTTGGTTCAAGATGGCCGCCACAGCTGACTCTGAAAACACTAAATTACTGTAACTCTGTCGTTCTTTGAGGTATTGAGATGAGCTTCGTTATGGTCGTAGCTGAGAGCGAGTTGTTGTAGCTACAAATCAAATATCCAAGATGGCCGCCTTTGTTAAAAGTGGAAAAAATGTGATAATTGATGTATTTTAAAGATATTGAGCTGAAAGTGGGCGATACCCGACGGGGATGCACAACACGTTGTGAACTCAAAGTTTGAAACTGGTCCCAACGAGTCCCCGTCAGAGTTCCTCCAGGAACTTTCTACTTTATGATGAACCACCTTGAGTCGTTTAAGGGTGGCGATCCACTCAGACTAGCCATTAGCTCATCAGTCTGGCCACAAATGAACGTTCTCTCCAACTGAGTCGTTGAGCCGTCTTCAACAGGTAAGATGTTGAGTGTTCGTCACATCCCAGTAGAACCACACACTTGGGTAACGTCACATCTCTTGATGGTTTCACCGAATGTACCCCCAAGTTAAACTTTTCTCCAGTTCTGAACCACAAGGCAGAACTTTTTACGGTTCTTGGTTGAACACTTCTTTCTACCGTCATCCAGTTTCTTCTGTACGTTTTTCTGCTCGATTCTCGTCCCACAGCTTTCATCTATTTCAACAAATCATGAATCAAAACGTTCGGCTCTTTCAGGACAACCCTGCTCCGACTTTTGGTTTTGGTGCCGCTTCAGCTTTTTGAGATATTTAGCCTTTTCTGCCATTTTTGTTTCCTCATATAAAATGAGTTGAGCTCATTTTACACCTTCAGCTCTTTAGATGTTTAACAGCATTTTACTGCTCCTTTCACTTTTTGTTCTGCTTCAGCTGCTTTCAGCTTCCTGCTGCTAATTTAAACTTTTTCAGCTTCTTTCAGCTGCTCTGTGATCCTTTCAGATTATTTATGCAATTTCAGCTACTATGTAGCAGTTTTATGCTAATTTTAGCTTTTTCAGCCTAATTCAGCAAAAATATGCTTTCCCTACTTCTTGCAATTTAAGCTTCTTTCTGCCTTTTTAGCTACTTTTCCACTTTCTGTGCTCATTTCTGCTTCTTTCATTTGGGAAACGTGATCTTTCTGCTAATTTCAGCTTGTTCTACGTCTTTTCTGCTTCTTTCATCCTAATTAACTTCTTTCTGCTAATTTCAGCTTGCTGAGCTCCTTTCATCTGTTTTCTTCTAGTTTCAGCTATTTCAGCTACTGTTTAGCTGTTGTATCCCATTATTAGCTTTTTCAGCTAATTCCACAGTTATTTTAGCTCATTTCAGCTCTTTCCTCTTTCTGCCTTTTCAGCTATGTTGTTTTAGCTAATTTCATAATTTTTTGCTCATTTCTGCTTATCTAATCAGTAAACGTGCTCTTTCAGCTTTCGGCTTCTTCTGCCAACTTTAGCTTGTTCTTCCATTTCAGCAAGTTCTTCTGCAGGAAAGGCCGTTCCTCTAGTTGGCGCCCCATCATGTAGATTTTAGCTGCAAAGTCTCGCTGCTCCTGTGTTTGTGTAAAGAGCGCTGTCGTCGTAGCGGTGACGTTCAACCACGTGGACTCTGCTTCTCCTCCGGGGCGGTAAGAGCAGCTGCTTCCTCCTCGTTTCTTCTCTGGCCGGCGTTAACAAGTTCCCTCTGATTTTAAAGCTCCCAGTTGAAGCACCGGTTTAGTGTTGGCTCCTGCCGATGCAGCGCCGGTGATAGAACAGACACGCCCCGGCTGCTTCAGTTACAGCAGGCTGGCTGGAGGCCTCTGATAGTCGGACCCCAGGGGCCCGGGCGAGCGCCTACCTGAAACCCGAGCTCTGAAAGGAAGCGCCGAGGTCGACGGTTTCTGAGAGACAGGAGAACGGCCACGGCGCTCTGCTGCCTCGAGTTCTGGGACGTTTCCAGAGCGGGTTTGTAGAAACAGAAGAACCTTTGAGGCTCCAGTCGTCGCTGCTGCTTCCTGGTCAAGGTCCGGGTCTTTGTCTTCTGTGGACCAACACGTGGCGCCGCACTCGGCAGCGAAACCGCAGCTTATTAGAAGCTTCAAGATGTGATGCTGCTAACTAGAGGAGTAGCATTTGCAATGAGATTGCTGAAGAATTAGCTGAAGAATTAGCTGAAGAACAGCTGAAATGGAAGAACAAGTCTAAATTAGCAGAAAGAAGAACGGACACATATTTGCTGAATTAGGTTTAAAAAGGCTGAAATTAGCAACAAAACAGCTGAAAAGTAGATGAAAAGGCAGAAAGAAGCAAAAAGAGATGAAATTAGCTAAAAAGTGAAATTGACTGAAAAGGCTAAAATTAGCATAAAACAGCTAAATAGTAGCTGAATTAGCAGAAAAAAGCCAAAAGGGGCATAACAAGCTGAAATTAGCAGGAAGAAGTTGGAAGAAGCCCAAAAATGTTGTTAGTGGAAAGAATCTGAAAGGATCAGAAAACAGCTAAAATTAGCTGAAACTGTTAGCTTCAGGAAGCTGAAAGAGCAGTAACGGGTTGTAAACACATCTAAAGATTTGAAGGGTGGAAAATGAGCTCAATTCATTTTCGCTGAGAACAAAAAATGACAGAAAAGGCTAAATGTTTCAAAAAGCTAAAGTTGCACCAGAAGTCAGAGCAGGATTGTCCTGAAGGAGCCGAACGTTTTGGTTCATGTGGAAATGGTGAAACCTGTGGAACGCTGCACACAATAATCCGTGATGACGGTTCTGGTCCGGTGGAGTTCACGGACGGCAGCAGTTTTGTGGGGGATCCTCTTACGGGGACGGTTTTGGTGTCCAGTAACGTACTGAAGCTGAATGTCTCCGTGTTGGTTTCAGGACAAGAAGAAGTACCTGGACATCATCCACAGCTACATGGAGGTCCACGCCACCGTGCACGGCACCAGCACCGTGCACCTGCCGAGCTACGTCAAGAACCACGGCATCCTGAGCGGCCGAGACCTGCAGTTCCGTCTTCGGGAGACCAAGGTGAGGACGTGGGTCTTCAAAGACAAACAAAGAGGACGTGACGTGTGATGAATGTTGTTCTCTTCAGGAGAACGTTTAATTCTGAAAGCTTTGCTGTAGCCGCTTCTGCGCTGGACGCCTTAAAAGTTAGCCTCAGAACAGGACGTCCAGGTTCTTAGCCTTTGGTCCAAACTGCCGTCGCAGAGCGAAGACGGGATCCTCTGTCCACCCGTCCCTCTTCTGAGCTGGACATCTTGAAACATAAGCAATGTGCCCACTTCCATGTTGGTTTGTGGCAGCGTCTAAATGTAAAAAAGATCTCTATTGAAAGTTGAGCTTCCACGTCAAAAATGTAAGATGGCCGCCACCACATGTGCGTAAGCCAGCCACCCCCTTTCATTTCCAGAAACTAGGCTTTGTTGTTTAAATATAGTGTCCTCAAATGTCTGGGGTGGCCCGAGATGAGTGTATATGGCCACCACTGGCCACCCCCTGGCTCCAGCACTGCAGCTGGTCGTGGATGAAATGGCTCCCCCTGTTGGATCCATCGCGCGGCGCCGCCTCAGCCACAACAAACGATAAATAAAACATTCCTCTGTTCTCACTGCGACTCACCTGAACTACCAGGTGCTTCACCTGCCTGTATTGTTTTATACCGCACATTTATGTTGAAAACAGGGGAATCGAACGCTCCCACCAAGCATTAGTGGCAGTGAAACCGACGCGCTACGTTTGCACTTTAATACTTTTATTTTTAATTGATGCGAACTCATGAACCAAACATCAGGTTTGAAAAATCAACAAACAAACCCAACCTTCACCAGGGTGCTAGCATTAACTAGAAATGGCTAAAAAGCTGAAATCGTCAGTAAACCTGTCGCGATAAACGATAAATCAATTAATCGCATGATAAATGAAAATTATCGACCTCATTTTCATTTATCGGCTTTATCGTTTCTTCGTGTCTCTCTCTTTCTACTGAAGACTCTGGATGATAAAAGTTCAACTCCGGTGCTCTTTACTCTTTAAAATCTGTTTTAATCGTCCAAAATCACGTTTTTGGATCGTTAAAAGCAGCTAAGCTACAAGCTAAGCTAACAGGCCGACCGCCGTCTTGTCGAAGCTCCAACATTCACGGTTGAAACTCGTGCCTTCATGTAAAAAGTTGTTTTTCTCCGTAAAAAGAAGCCGAGAACTTGTTTACTGATTTTTATTAAAAACTTTGTGTGAAAAATGCTAAAGAGGTCAAACCACTGAGCGTCCGCCATTTTGAGAACCAAAGAGAGACAGCCCACGTCACGTCAAGGGGCCTCCCTCACATTTGTCTTAAAGAGACACGCTGCTCGCTCACTCACTGTCCATCCTTCAGTTCAAACTGTCTTATACTGCCATCCAGTGGTCAAAAACAGGTACTACACACAAAACAAATTAACCAACATTTCTTCTTAAATTTGACAATAATTACTAATTATTGTCAAATTTCAAACAATATTATCGTTTATCGCAATAATTTCTGGTAATCACCCGGCAACATTTGTTATCGTGACAGGCCTAATCATCAGTTTGTTGACCCTCCTCCCCGTCCCATCCCAACCATCCAACAACCGTGAAAACTACCGTGTTCTCAGATCTGGAACTTGTGGTTAGACCCCTCTGACACGGAGATGTTCGCAGCTCTCCTCTTAGCTGCGATCTTTATATACGCACCGCCATTTGCTCGGTGGATGCGTTTAGTCCAGTGGTTCCCAACAGTGGTCCTTGAGGAACACCATCCTGCATGTTTTAGTTGTTTCTCTGCTTTGACGCGTCTGATTTGAACGAATGGGTGATTTAAAGGGCTTCTGCAGAACTTGAAGTAATTAAATCACTGGATCAGACGTGTTGGAGCAGGAAACGACTGCAGGTCGGTGTCCCTCAGGGACCAGTGTTTGGGAACCATTGCGTCTAGTCTGACTTAACCTTGGAATAATACTTCACACCCTGCTACAGTGATGCTAAATGCTCGTAGCTGTTTGCAGCAAAATAAACTCGTGACGGCGTCTGCCTGAACGGATCATTTGACGCTCCGGCTAATTGGCCTCGTGGGGGTTACGAGGCGACGGTAAAGATAAAAACGCGCTGCAGCGGTTTCTTCTGTGGAGACGAGTTCGTTGCTGTTAAAGTCTGACGTGTGTTCCATGAAATAAACAACGCTGCGTCGGGGGAACGCGGCGGAGATCAAAATCCTCGGGAGTTTCTTCTTCGTCACGTGATCCTAAAGTAAATTTGCATTTCCAGTCGGCGGCAAACGGATCGGAACTTTTTTTTTTACCTGGTTTTCCACGTTTCATGTGAGCGAAGCTGGAGAACTCCCTCCGAGTACCACTCCGCTACTTCATACTCATTTCTGTGAGTAGCAAGTTGGTCACCTGCACTAAAACAGTGGATTGTTGTACATGACTGATTGTTTTGCACGTGTTAAAAACTGTCACATTCCAACAGGAGGTTTGCTTGAAACAGCAGTGAAGGCTGATGAAGTCCTCTGGATGGGGGACACAACGTAAAGAAACTGGTCCAGATGACACGATTGAACCTTTTTTGTTGTCATCCACCAACACTTTTTCCCTCTGAGTCCTTCAGTCTGAATTCACATCCTCTTCCTGGACTCGACGTGCTGTGCTGCCCCCTGCTGGCAGATGTGGGTATAGATGGATGGATGAATAGGTACTTCGTTAATCCCAGGGGGATCGGACAATGGTCTGATTATACAGCAAATGAAAAAGAAGCAGAATACACAGACAATATGCACATGGTGGTAGAGAGTACTAGATACAGTATATGTATAAATGCACGTCTACACACAAGGGTGGAAGTAATGAATTACAAATACTCACATTACTGTAATTAAGTAGATTTTTTGGGGGGTACTTGTACTTTTTTAAGTATTTCTTTCAAGTGTGTAATTTTACTCGCACTTAAGTACAATTTAGACCATGTAATCTAATTCACTACTTTTAAAATCAGAAGTTACTACCGAGTACGACCGCAGCTTGAATGAATATATATCTGTAAATAAATGTAAATAGTTATTTTTTAGACATTTATTTTGTGGGTTACAGCTGAACTGGGACAAAGCTTTGACTCAGAAATATATTTTTGTTATTTATGGAAATAAAAAATATCGAGATATATATCGTGTATCACGGTTTATCATAAAATATTGAGATATTAACTTTGGTCCGTATCGCCCAGCTCTAACTCAAACCGTTCATCTGCATCTTTGAAGCCAACAAGGCTCGGATCATGAACGCAGCAGTGACGTAATCAAAGGAGAACTGCGTACGAGAGTCTTTCATGGACCGAAGGTTTGGAGACGGAGGACGAGTGGTCGTAGGTTTCGTGCACAGAGGAGGAGACGGAGTGCACGTGCAAACTGTTTGATCTGTACAGTGACAGCACGTCAGCGTCTAATCCCAACTGTCACGTTGGATACCAGCCGCCTGTATCGTGTTGCTGTTTTACTGTTTGTATGTGAGGGTAATTAGTTCGGCTAAGTTTGTAAAGTTCGTGGATACGTTTTGACACGGGTTTGTCTGTCTGCTACTAAAAGAAGACGCAGCTTCTGAGAAATGAGCTTCGGTTATATTTATATTTATTACATACGGTAAATCAAACGGTCTTCTATTGACGACACAATCAAACATCAAGCGGTTAAAAAGTAATTGATACTCTCGAGTAGTTTTTGAGAAGAGTACTTTGTACTTTTACTTAAGTATTTTTATAACAAAAGTACTTGTAATTGAGTACAATTTAAGCAGCGTAACAGTACTTGTACTTGAGAACAAAGTTTCAGTACTTTTACAGAAGTGTCCAGTAGTTTTTAGATCCATCCATCGTCTTTACCCACTTCTTCCATTTTGGGTCACGGGTGTCCATGTCCAGCAGTCACTGTGCGAGAGGTGGGGGACACCCTGGACAGGTCTCCAGTCCATCGCAGGGACACCTGGACAGGTCTCTAGTCCATCGCAGGGACACCCTGGACAGGTCTCCAGTCCATCGCAGGGACACAGAGACAAACAACCATTCTCTCTCACCCAGGGACAATTTAGAGTTACCAGTCAGTCTAACATACATGTTGTTGGTCTGTGGGAGGAAAAACACTCAGCACGGAGAGAACATGCAAACTCCACCCAGAAAGTCCCCTGGCCGGGATTTGAACCGGCGACTTGCTCGCTGAGAGGCGGCAGCTCAACTGCGCCACCGTGCCGCCATTGGGCTTTATTTTGGGTCGTTGCTGGGGGTCGGTTGTGGATCCTCCCTCGTTCTGCCGAGTTCAGTTTCAGCCCTTCACTCCCACCGGCCTCTCAGCAGCTGAAGCCTCGTTTCATCAAACGTTTGGGTCGTAGACACTTTCATCTATGAAACGAGTGTGGAGAGAACTAAGAACAGAGAGAACTAAGAACAGAGAGGTGCACTCCACGTTCCCTTGATCTTTGCGTCTGAAACATTTTTATTTCTCCTCTGCAGCTGTTTGTAGGTCTGTCCTTCCCCTACGAGGGTCCCGCCCCCTTAGAGGCCATCGCCAACGGCTGCGCCTTCCTCAACCCCAAGTTCACCCCCCCGAAGAGCAGCAAGAACACGGACTTCTTCAAAGGAAAGCCCACGCTGAGAGAGGTGAGCAGTGGTGATGTTGGGGGGGACGCGTCCCGTTTCCCGTCTTGTTCTTCCCGTCCTCACGAGGACG